CTGAACAGCCGGGCAGATGTGGCCTTTCCAGCTGTAGCGGTCTAGAGGCAGGTCTTTTATCCCGAATTCCGTTGCGCCAGGAGTGGCGCGGGGACCCGAAGCGTCGTTTCCCGCGCCCGGCGTGGCGCCCGGGGCCGCGCCCGGGAAGCGCCGCCTGAAGTGTCTCCCTTGGGGGCTCCCGCGCCTCGACCGACGTGGATCCGATGGAACCTCCTGCCCGGCGGAGCGCAGCCTTCGCGGAAACGAACGTTTCAAAGTCGTGGGGGGAGACGGCCCCGGGTGACCCTGGAAGGTGCTGTCGGCAGCGCCCCGGGGACCCACCTGTCGTGTGTGAAACGCTCGCCGACCGACCGCTGGCCGCGCGCGGGGAGCCCGGGGATCGGGCTCATGGGCAGGTCGCCGGCGGCTGGGGGCCTGACACGCACCGGGCCCTTTCTAGGCGCGGGAGTTGGAACAGGAGGAACCTTTTGCTGAAAAGTTGTGTGCGTGGGGCACGACCACCACCCGGCCGCCCCGCCGGGGGTTCAAGGTCAGACCCGGAGGCGGCTCCCCAGGCCCGCCCCTCCCCCGCCCGGGGGACGCTGCGGTTCGTCCGTCCGGTGCCGGTGGTCGGCGCTAGGGATTCTTTTCGGGTTCTTATGCACTGCACCACTGAATGACGACCAACTACATAGTTAAAAATCAAAATAAACTCTGCTAATAAAAACAGGAAAAGGTAATATATTGAATAATAATTTTTTAAAAAAGGAAGTTCGACTCCCTCTGTAGCCTCAGCCCCAGAGATACCAGGGTTCCAATGGGGCGCCTCTTCCATAGCTGCCTTCTGTCAAGTATAATGTATAGCTAGGTACACGTTATATAGGTACGCTAGACACATTCATTTTTAAACAAAAATGGGGTCTATACCTTGTTTTTTGTAACAGTACATCGTGGGTATCGCTGCTTGTCATTATGTACAGATTTACTCAATCGTTTTTAACCACTGTTTGATGTTTCCTTGCTGATATATCAAGAATTCCACAAACCTGCAATTTATGGAAATTTTGGTTACTTTCAATTTTCTGTCATTATAAACAATTTTGTAATACAGATTCTTGTGCATACATCTTTGGGCATTTGTCTGATGATTTCCTTAAGATAATTTCCTAGAAGTGAAATTGCTGGATTGAAGGGTATGAATTTTTAATTTTTTTCTATCAACATTTATTTACTGCTGCATATTGCCAGATTTCTCTCCACCTGGAGCCAGTGTCTGGGAGGGCGCAGGGCTGGATCCTCCCACTGCCCGGGCTTGTTCCTATCATCAGCCCTCTCCAACACCAGGCATATTTATGTGTTGACATATTTAATCTTTGCCAAATAGAATTCCTCTCCCCCTTTTTTAAAAACGTTTTTTCTTAATTGAGATTTTATTGCTTGTTCTGAGGATAAGTACATAGATGATTCAGTTTGTACACAATTTTTAGCATACATACCCAGAACCTAAAATATAGCTGTGATTCTTTTCTGAGCAGTTATTCCAGTAACTTTCCAGCTTAAAATTTGGCAAATTTTCCTTAATAGAGTATCAAGTACCAATATCTTTAAATGTTGACACACTATTACATCAAAGTCCCACTAATTCACATTTTATATCATATGCCCGACATAATCTAATTTTCAGTCTTTCACAGCACATTGACAAAGTTACTAAGAAAACTGGACTGCCACGCCGAAGATGTTACAGGGTGGACACAATTCTGACAGGAAGAGCCAAGACCAAGGAGTGGTTTTCTTTAGGAAACAACTCTACCAAAAACATGGGAATGGAAGTAATTTAAAATGTTCAAGACGTGTTAAATGCATGACTGACTCCAAATTGCCGCCTAGTAAGCGTTGTGTTATGGGACATAACACTACCCTCATCTATGGATTGTTAAGCTGACATCCAAGAAAACCAAAGCCTCCCATATTCAATATCCTGCTATTTTCTGGTTGTGCCAAAAAATAAACAACCAGCAAATGATTTCACCTCTTTTAAAAAAAGCATTTCTACTTAAAAAAAAGGGGGG